AAAAGAAGTCTGATCTCTTTAGGGTACTGTTTTAACTCAACCATGGGTCCTTGTTACTGGAAAGATTTCTTTCTTTTCTTTGATACACCATAATTTTTTCATTGTTTTCATAAGCACCATTGCAGAGGAAACAGATATTTCTGTTTTTTAGGAAAGCTGATCCAAAATTTAGAGATTATGAGTTTATTAGAGGTCTCTGATTAAAATATGATTACCATACAAAATATTTTTTAAGGCAAAACAATCTTTCATTTTATTTGTTTGCACAGGTGACACCATTGTTCACATGAAACCACAAGGATTTATGAAAATTCTGGCATGTCTTGTCAGTTGTTCCACCTGAAAAATATCCTATGCATGGAAATGTGCTTCTACCTCAGAGTCTAAAACTTAAGCTAAGAATCTTGAGCATGCTGTGGTAAAATAGAAAGAATAACTACATTTAAGTAAATATCGAGCAACTGTTTGCTTTCCTTATTTTCCTCCCGACTCTTCTGGTTTTAATAAATAAGATTTTCTAGTCATTTAAATTGAACTATTTAGTTGATTTAAGTTGAACCAACCCAAGAAACAGGAAATTAGTTAAGTCACCACTTGAGCAAAAGAGAAAGACGAGAATTAAGTTAGATTGACAAGTGTGAGAAGAAAAAAGAGAAATAAAAATTCTGTTGATCGTTTTAACCTCCTAAAATATCTCCTATTTGTCTGTTTTCCACTGTCACCACCACCTGGAGGAATGCAGTAGCCTCCTAATTGTTATGTTTGTATCTACTTTAGCGTTTGCATTTCTGATCTATTTAATACGTTAGCTTGCCAAGATACTTAAAATAATGTGATTTTAATCCTATCATCTCCCTGCTTAAAAGACTCTTAAGCCTTCCTATTGTGTTTAACAAAGACCGAAATCCTTACCAACACCCCTCCATGGTTTGCTCCCTATTTCTTCTCTAGTTATTTTCATGGCAATGCCCTTTTCATTCTTTTTTGCTTCCATCCCATAGGTCAGTTTTTATTTCCTTGAAAGTGCCAGAGATCCCTTGCCTTGGAGTCTTCCAAGATACCATTTTCCCTGCCTGGAATTTTCCCTCTTTCTTTCCCTGAGATCCCAATTCAATTGTCACTTGGAAAAACCTTCTTTGACACTTCACCCAGTTTTCAAATAGATAAAATTTCGTTTTGTAAATTCTCAAAACACCTTCCTATTAGTTATTATTAGATGAGTTTGTGTTCCATGAAAGC